CAAAACACAGAGCGCTGCTTGTTGAGGAATCTGATTTGAGGTGTCACTTCAGAGAATGCTGTCTCGTGTGCTGGCAGGAATGGCAGCCGCTGCTGCACGCTTGTCGGCGGCCTTGAAAAGCAGCCAAAATGCTTGTGTGCTGACAGGAAACCCCAGCAGCTCTGCGTGGTTGGGATCACATGCCCCAGGAGGAGCGAGTGGTGCCTGTCCCCCCTCGCTCCTATCTTGCGGGAAGAAGCAACAGACCGCTGTTGAGCTTTGTCCAAACGCAGCCTTGCTTCTTCAGTCCCAGAGAGCTCACAGCAGGGCTGGAGCACACATTTACTGTCTGTCTCTTCTTGCCTTGCTCTCAAAATTGCATGTGCAAGCTGGCGGTTTTGGGTAGGTGCGGTGAGAAACCTTTAATGGGTTTAGTAGCTTTTGGTATACATAGCTTTTCTGTAGACAACATGCTATTAATGCCTTCCATTTTCAAAGCAAGGCAGTTCTTCCTCAGTACAAATTACAGAGGTGTTGCCTCCCTTAGCAACAGGCTAAAGAGTGAGGTAGGTTTGAGGAGCTGGTTGTGGCGTTAAGCTGTTAGCTGCAGAGCTGGTTGTGGTATTAAGCTGTTACCTGCAGCGGCAGAAGGCAGGGCCAGCTCTGAAGTGAGCTTTAATGCTTTCAGGAATGGCTTAATGTGCTACACAGGTTGGTTTGCTGCAACAAAAGGCAGAATCTGTCACCACCTCTGGTATTTGTTTCTATCAGATGAAGCACGTTACCAAAGCTCTTTTCCAAAGCAGTTGGCCCTGTGCTGTCTCACTGGTCCCCTGGGCCTGCACCAGGCAATGCTGTGGGACTATAAGGTAAAAGGATACATTGGTCAGCTCCATGGTTTGAAGGAGAAGCCTGGCTTTACAGTCATCATTTAGCTGTAGCAACACCAACGAATAAGCCAGTTTGAGAGAAGGACAGACTTCACTTGGCTGCTTATTTCTTAAAGATGCTCACGTGGGGTCCTCTCCTTACAGTAGGGATGTTTCTGGCCCTTTGTACGTAGCTGAAACATCTGCTTCTTAAAGAGCAGAGTCCGTTCTTTTCTACTGTACCACGTTTACTGAGACTCTGCCCGCAAGCAGCGGCACTCAGCCCAAGCACATAAAATGTTTGTGGTTTTTTTTTTTTTAATCTAGGGGGAAAGACTTGAAGGAAAAGCATGAACAGAAAGTTTACGAGCGTGAAATGCAGCGCATCACACTGCCACTCTCAGCGTTCACCAATCCTGCCTGTGAGCTTGTAGATGAGAACACCATCGTGGTGCACACCAACCAGACGCCTGTGGAGGACACACACGATGGCAGTGGCCCACTCATGGGGCAGGCGGGTACTCCTGGTGCCTGAGCAGCTCAGGCAGGAGCGATACAGGCTGAGCAAAGCCTCCAGCTTCCCACTGTGAGTGCAGGGGTTGCGTGTGTTCATTTCTATTTTGTTTTCTTTTTGATGAAAGCCAGATGAAGGTGATGCAGAGGGACGGAGCAATGGGCTATTCATCATGATCTGTTTGAGGGACACCATTCAGTGCATGACCAGCTGGGGACTGGTGTGGTGGACCCTGCTGCTTCCTCCCACCTATCTCCATGGCATGCCAAGGAGCTGGGGGGGATGATGGGCCAGGCTTACACGTGGCCACAGATCCCATAGCCCAGAGTGTGTTCTTGGCTTCCTCTTTTTCTGTTCCTTTCCTATTTAACGGTGTGCACTGTTACTTAAGTTTCAGCCTGGAACCTCAGGAAGGAGCAGTACTGCAGGGACTGAGGGGAGCTTCACGTCAGATTTAGCTAGATAATTACACTCTGATTATAGTTCCTGCTTTTTTGCTTTAGTGGCTGAGAGCTGGAGACACTGTCCAGAATCCTCCTACTGGATCTGTGTTTTTTTCCAAGGAAGAGTTTATTTGAGAGAGGGCTTTGGCCAGGAGCAGTATGTTTAGCCCCAGTGTCAATTTGGAAAAGCTCTTGACAAATCCAGGTCTTCCAGGGCTGAGGCCACATCTCCATTCCCCTGTGGTGCTACACGCACAGCCACAGTTGTAGGTGGCCAGGTGGTCTGTGTGTCTTGCTCACTTACACAGATCAGGAGACCAAAGGCCAGCAGTAGATAGTTGTGGAGTGAAGAAAACAAACTGCCCTGCAGTTACCTACAGCAGATTGAGCACTGAGGATAGATAACATCCTCTTCTGAATTCACTTGGCTTTCTACAGAGCCAGCTCTGGACAGAGTGGCCAAGCCAGCTGTAGAGGTCACTCCAGCCATGATGCAGCAGCTCTTGCTCTAAGGGCAGGCCAGGCCAGCTGCTCTTGCAAGATCCCAGAGTTACAGCAAGGCTCCTGGCCCAGCCTCCACACACACTCAGCTTGTGCAGCAAGACTACTTGCTTACAGAGCCTGGCCCTATTAGAGAGGTTTTGTAACAACTTTTATTAGCATTTCAGGGGGTTTGGAAGGGGTAGTTGCTGCAGTGTCTCCCAAACAGCACCAAGGCAAGGCCAGTTCAGGGAAACATCCATCCCCTCCTCAGGGGATTCAAGCCATTCAAGTAAGTTTTCTAGCCATCTGCTTCATAGCTGTGGGCCTAACAGGGAGCAGCACTTGGCAGCAGGGGTTTTAGTGTTAATGTTTGATTCAGAAAAGGGAAACGTTTTATTTTTAAATGCCTTTGAATACCATTTCTTTGTAAAATGTTTTAAATACCTCATTATGAGAAGGTGCAGATTGTGCTACCTTGTATTAAAGCTTAAAAGACAAACGCTCTGTAGACCTGTGTGGACTGTGGCTCATCTGTACGTTCCTCTTGCCAGAGCAGCATCCTTTTGCTTGTTGCAGACTTCGAATTGAAGAGAAGGGAAAGAAGCCACTTCAGTTTGCCAGGCCCAAAGGTAAATCCCTACTAGCAGTGCCTCCACTCACCAGCACCAACAAGGGTCACGGAGCTTGTCTCCTTGCTGACAGCAGCTAGTCTTGGACTGAGACACTGTTCCTGAAAAGCAGCTGTGGGTGTGTGAGCCGTGCTGACTAAGCAGGCTGGCACGTGGGAAGACGGTCTCAGTTGCAGCCCCTTCCTGCACTGACACAGGTCAGTTCTGCTTTGGTGCTGCTCAGCAGCAGCTCCATCCCTGGGGGCCTTGCATTGGAAGCGTGATGGAGACAGGAGCACAGCAGGTTACAGGAGGCACTGACATAGGTAGCGTTTTTGTTCAGTTGTTGCCTTAACCAATGCCTCTTATTTCAGAATAAGAGGTTTTCAAGAACAGGCTGTATGTATTTTTATCCCTGGATCAGAAAAAGAAAATGGAGAGAGGCTCTGTGTTCTGCTGACTCCTGTTCACCCTTAAAAAAAACCCAACCACCAACCAACAAAACTTGATGTCTTCCCTTTCCATCACTCCAGGTAAATAGTACTATAGAGCACTTGCACTGCGTCTCTGTAGTTCTGTAAATGTGACAGAGCCCTTCGGCTCAAGAAAGGGAGTTCTGGATGATACCCGATCTGTGCAGTTTTGATGTTGGCATTTGTGACAACAACAGAAACCTGGGAGCGTTGCAGCTTCCTGCTTTATGTAACACAGAGACAACAAAATCTTGTTCTCGTAGCATACATTTACTGCTTTTTAATTTAGTTAGAACATGGAGCTGTGCAAATCACAGTTCATAAACCCCACCCACACATCACCCAGGACTCTCCCCTTCAGGGGTCCCCTCACAAACCAGCCTGGGAGGGGGAAAGAAAGGGGAAATCCTATTAACAATCCTGAATCCACTGGACCCAGTTCAGAGAAGCTCCTCTGCTGACTCACAGCACAGGGAGTCCCCAGTGTCTCTAAAACACCACTACACAGACTAAAAACACCTCCCCCGCATGCACACCTTTTGTCAGGTGATGGATGGTCCCATGTTATTTTACATAATACTTTAAACTCATGGGTAGGGGGAGGAAATCAAAGAAACAGCAAAGACTGACACCCATTCCCCACCATTCAATACCCAAGGGAGTGGGGGAAAAAGGAGCACACTAAAAATCCAGTTAAACCAAGATGTTTGTGAAACTTAAGAGCAGGACTCGAGCCAGCTTTTTTTGTTCTGCCAACCATATGAGCTACTACAGCAGTAGCTTTCTTCCATCTTCCACTGAGGGAGGAGGAGAAGTGCTGGAAGAAAACACACCCCCAACCACCTCCCAATGACTCCAAGCCCTTTTTTCTCCCCAAAAGCAGGGAATGACCCTGAAGAACATTTCTGCTTGGAGAATCAGCTCAGGTGCTGCAGCAGCAGCTGCAAGAAGGACCTTCAAAAGGAGCAACTTGCACAGCCTGCAGACGAGGATGAGGTAATGGCAACTGAATTACGAGTTCTACAGCTGCCACTCCAGGGAGGATGAGACATTCTCCAGCACTTTTCTGCTCATGACAAGTCCATCCTTTAAGTAACCTTGGGCATATCCCCCTTTGCCATTCATTGTCCATGTACAAAATCTGAGCCACTTCAGACCTTCGGCTTTCTGAAGAGCACCTTCTGTCACCTTATGTCCACAGGCTGAGAGCTCAAGCAGCTTCAGCACTCCAGGGATGTCCACAGCCAGTGCCTAGTGCAGTTCTATGGATTCAGATTCAAATAATCTCACCTAGGTTAAGATTCTTGGGCAGGAAAACTCACTGTGCACACTCTGGGTCTGAAGATGCTCAAATGGCTCATTTGCAGCCTGCCTTGTTCACCATCAGGAAGGCAAGCAGAGCTCAGTCTTAGTGTTTCCAGGCAGGCTTTTGGAGGTATTCAGAGACAGAGGAGGAAAAAACCCATAAAACCAAACCAAAAATTCATACACGCTTCCCACAGACAAGGTATTTCAGGAGAGCTGCCCAGTTCCTGGGGCTTTTCACTCCCTCCCCAATGCACATTGGAGGCCAAAATCTCAGTGGGTTGTTCTGGAAAACACATGCACAAACATACACACACGCACACACACGCTGTCCTGGTGGGGCCTTTTGCCGGATGTCCAATTTCCCCAGCCTTCTGAGCAGGGTAGTCAGTGGGAGAAGCAGTTCCGGAAGCGCTGGTCCTTGCTGAGGACAGTCTCCTATAGCAATTCCCTCCCTGGCACACAGGCTGGGGTGGCTTCACAGCTTGCAGCCAAGTTCTAAGGCACCACAGTAAAGAAGCCTGAAAAGGCCAGAGGAACATTTCTCAAGCCAGAAAAATAGTGTTGAGCAGCTTTCCTAGGTGCAATTGTCAGGAAACAGCCCATTTTGCTTCTGAAACATGCCAGAAATCCACAGTGAATCAGGATGTCCAAGAGGAGGGGTATTGGGTGAGGAGAGAGAGAGGCAATGCAGCAAACACAGTGTGGTGCCCCGTTAATGCCCTGGAAGTGGCTGAAGTGCATCTCCCTCCCTGTCGCTCATCTCGACTCCAACGAGGTGGTGCAGGCAGCAGGACGCGCTGACTAGGTTGTGTTTTCAGGTAGCTTGTCACGGTTCAGTCCATACTGCACACTCACGTTGTGGTCCAGCTCCTCCAGCTCGGATGGAAGTGGGATGGCAAGCTCTCCCAGGTAGAGAGACAGAGCTTCAAAGGAATCTTCCAGCTTGGAAAAAGGGGGCCTAGAAGCAGCAGTGAGGAAACATGAGTGGGAAAGAGGAAGCAGAACAGCATCTGGAAAGTCATGCAGGCCCCTGTCTCATGCACAGAGGTGTGAGCAGGGACACGATCCCTCGGCAT